TGTGAGTTAGTGAGAGTTGTCAATGAAACAAAGGTTAGGTGCCTTGAGAGTCTGGGTCAACTGTAATGTAATTTACTTTAGCCTTCAGAATCTACGGTCCTGAATTTATTGTCTCTATAGCAGTGGATTATGGCTGTGCTACTGGCTTAAAGTTCAACATTCAGAAAACTAAGATCATGGCATCTGGTCCCATCACTTCATGGGAAATAGATGCGGAAACAGTGTCAGACTTTATTTTTTTAGGCTCCAAAATCACTGCAGATGGTGATTGCAGCCATGAAATTAAAAGACGCTTACTCCTTGGAAGAAAAGTTATGACCAACCTGGATAGCATATTAAAAAGCAGAGACATTACTTTGCCAACAAAGTTCTGTCTAGTCAAGGCTATGGTTTTTCCAGTAGTCATGTATGGATGTGAGAGTTGGACAGTGAAGAAAGCTGAGCACCGAAGAATTGAGGCTTTTGAAGTGTGGTGTTGGAGAAGACTCTTGAGAGTCCCTTGGACTGCAAGAAGATCCAACCAGTCCATCCTAAAGGAGATCAGTCCTAGGTGTTCATTGGAAGGACTGATGTTGAAGCTGAAACTCCAATACTTTGGCCACCTCATGCGAAGAGTTGACTCATTGGAAAAGACTCTAATGCTGGGAAGGATTGGGGGCAGGAGGAGAAGGGGACAACAGAAGATGAGATGGCTGGATGGCCGATGGCATCACTGACTCAATGGACATGGGTTTGAGTAAACTCTGGGAGTTGGTGATGGACAGGGAAGCCTGGTGTGCTGCGATTCATGGGGTCACAAAGAGTCAGACACGACTGAGTGACTGAACTGAACTCAACTGAACTGGCCATATGCTTTGATGGATCTGTTCATATCCTGTTCATGATATGGGCAACTCTGGCCACATACTCACTCAATTTCTTTCAGTGCCCAGCAGCTCTCCAGGAGTTGTTGTTGTCATTGCTGTTTGGTTTTTTTTTTCCCTTGAAAGGCAAATATTTCTCTGTCACAGAAGGAACAGCATTGCTCCAGAACCCTGGATTCTCTTACTGGGTCCGACTCCAGACACCCATCCTTATCTTCTGTGGATATCCCTAGTCCATTGTACCCATTGGGTCAAATGGCCCAAGTGGCAGGACAGCTTACATCACACTCTTGATTTGCTTCAGAGTTTCCTTTCACTCTGGATAGCACTCAAAATTGGCAGATTTTTAATTACTTGATATATGAATTGGAACATTATTTTTAAGAGCAATAGTGCCCCTAAAATCCAAAGAAATTTTTCTTTTTCTTAGTGGTGGAGGTTACAAGGCATTACAATTGTTCCTTACCTTGAGGAGGGTTTGCCAACATATCCTAGATCAAGGGTACCCCACCTCTAAGATCTATAATACCTGATGATCTGAGCTGGAGCTGATGTAATCATAATAGAAATAATGATGGTTTAGTCGCTAAGTCATGTCTGACTCTTGTGATCCCATGGACTGTAGCCTGCCAGACTCCTCTGTCCATGGGATTCTCCAGGTGAGAATACTGGAGTGGGTTGTCATTTTCTTCTCCAGGGGATCTTCCTGACCCAGAAATCGAACCTGGGTCTCCTGCAAGGCAGGCAGATTCTTTCACCAATTGAGCTATGAGGGAAGACCTAATAGAAATAGAGCACACAATAAATGTAATGTGCTTGAATCATCCCTAAGCCACCCCCTCCCCTCACCCACTACTCCAGTTCTTGGAAAAATTGTCTTCCATGAAACCAATCCTTGGTGCAAAAAAGTCTGGGGACTGCTGTGATCATCACACGTCTAAAAATTTCATCAGTGTGGCAGGTTCCTTAACTTTGTGGAATTTTTCTCCTACTTCCTGGCAAACATGCCTCTTACTAGGACATCTAGTTTACTTCTTGCTCCCTAGGTATAACTGGCAGATATTAGCAATATGGTGGGCAAATGTGGTGTCTGCATGATATCAAGACCATTGAAGACTCTGCAGAAGGGAGCTCTTAGAGATTAGAAACAGCGAATGCCTCCTGCTCCTCCTCCTCATGTTAAAAAGTGAAACTCATTTGATCCTCCTTCCTCATAAAGATTGAGAAGAACGTACTTGCCAGAGCAACAGTCATATACCAAGTCTGGAGGCTATGTTGATCTGTTATAGTGAAGATACTATATCAGACACAGGAGCTAGAATTTGAGTTATCACCTAGTTAAGTTTGTCATGGTCTGCTGTCCTCTGTCCCATCTAGTTTTTGCTAGGGACCTTCAGGTGACTTCCTAGAGAAGGCAATGGCAACCCACTCCAGTACTCTTGCCTAGAAAATCCCATGGATGGAGAAGCCTGGTGTCCATAGGGTCGCAAAGAGTCGGACACGACTGACTGACTTCACTTCAGGTGACTTGATGGGGACTGCCGCTCATACATGCTTGAAGTCTTTGATGATGGTTCTAAGTTCTGTTCTTCTACCTGAGATGTGACATTGCTTCTGGTTTATTATCTTGACTAGGTGTAGGAAGAGTGTCATAACACCCATAGAACTCTTCCTGTTGTTCTAGCTCTTACTCCAAAAGGTCAGGGAATCATTGTGAAGGTTCTGCCAGTTATTAGGAATATCTGTCCCAATTATGCATTATATATAAAATTCCATCTATTATTTGGCCCCCATATACCCCATCCCTGCTCTATCTGTAGGAATGTGGTTGCATTTCAGCTGGCACAGATCTAGATATACCTCTTTCCCCAGTATATAGTTAACCTAGCAACTGGACACACGTACCTCTGAGGGAAGGTTTGGGGGGATATTTATCGTACATAGAGTGTTGCTGTAGATTCTTTCCCCAACCAGACTTAGATTTCCCTTAAATTAATGGATCCTGAGCCTTTATACTGACTTAGATTTAGAGTAGGTGAGGGACTGTGTGTGCGTGTGTGCTCAGTTGCTCAGTCATGTCTCTTTGTGACCCCCATGGACTGTAGACCCCCAGACTTCTCTGTCCATGCGATTTTGCAGGCAAGAATACTAGAATGGGTTGCCATTTCCTCCTTTGGGGATCTCCCTGATGCAGAGATCAAACCCACGTCTCCTGCACTGCAGGTGAATTCTTTACCACTGAGCCACTGGGAAAGCCCTGAGGGAACATAGTTCCCCCTTATTGCAGCTTACCCAGATTTCTGTTCTCCCTGTCTTTTGTTTTATTGGTTATGAAAGTTAAGTAGTACTCCGTCTGCTCCCCATTTATCATCACTCCTTGTAACACTATGATTGCTATAGTTACCTGGTGTTCAAGGATGCCTGATTGCTCTCCAAATCTTGCTGGCCAGTATAATAATTATTACATTCATCTTGCCTCTGACAATTAAGCACTGCCATTTGCTATTTCATAATCTTCTTAGTTCTACTTTATGGACCAGCTCAGTGGCAGATTCACCCATTTTTAGTAATGACCTTCAAAGGATGGCTAACAAGCTTTTTGGATATTTCAGGGTCCCTCTCAGGAATTCACTATTTATTGTCTTAATGAAGGGAGTATCTCTGGGCTATCCTGGATTAGTCAATTGGTGGGTTTTCATGTCTCAAGTAATATATTGTTTCTACTGTTTCCCACCTTCCCGAGCCTTTTGATCCTGTCAACATTCTGCCAAGGCAGTTCGTCATTCCTTACTCTGTCCAAACTTTAAGGAACCATCCCAATAATGTATCAGAACCAGCTCCAGGTGTCCTGCCAAATCAGTGTACCCTGAGTTATAAAAAAGTATTACACAAGCTTTTCCACACTGGTGGTCTTCTTTTCTAGAAGTGAAGATTGATGCCAAGGCACCTGGGAGTTTGTGAAGCCTTGAAAACCTAAAGATGGAGCCCAGTAAATTCACTTTCTTAGAAGCAGAAACTTCATCTTACTAAAGGAGATAGATCAGGTTTGACATCAGTCCAGCCCTAGCAGTTGACGGCTGATAAAGGGAAAGCCCGGACTCAGGGAATTGCAAGAGAAGGGGTCAGTGTCACAAGATGGTCACCTCCATCACCAGTTTTTTCTGCAATATGATCATTTCTGTGATTCATGTGGGGACAGGATCTAAGGCTTCATAATGGTATTGTTGTTTTTTATTAGATAACACATTAAAATAAACCATTTACTTTGAGAATCCTGACTGAATGACCATTGCTAATTTGCGTGCAAACGGAGTCACAGTGCTATAAGCCACTTTTCATTCTCCTCCTTTGCTTTCCATTATAATCCTGCAAAAACAGCTTCTGGGGAGTTAAATTTTGATGTCTAGCTAAGGTAGGGGTTCCCAGGAGTCTCAGTGGTAAAGAATCTGTCTGCCAATGCAGGAGACGTGGGTTCAATCCCTGGGTTGGGAAGATCCCTTGGAAGAGAAAAAGGCAACCCATTCCAGTATTCCTGCCTAGAAAATTCCATGGACAGAGGGGCCTGGCAGGCTATAGTCCATGGGGTTGCAAAAAGTCATATACAACTGAAGCGACTGAGCATACATGCATAGCCAAGGTTAAGTATCAAAATGAGGCCCATCAAGCATGATGATGATGAAGCATTTTAAAAGGGAGTCTACTATGTGTCAGGTACTGTGCTAAGTACGTTGCACATATAAAATCTATTTGGTCTTCACAACTCTAAGAAAGTAGGTATACTATTCTTACCTTCTCTTTACATATAATCCTTTCTTCATCATTTCTTGGAGCTACTGATCACTGGTGAAACGAGCAGGGGACCAGGTGTCCCATCTGAGCCCCCTAGAGGAGAAGATATATCATTTATATCCTTTGACTCCCCTAAACCATTTGATCAGATGTTTGTTTCCATTTCTCATTCATCTTTCCTCTTGAATCTAAGCAAGCAGTCAGTATTTAAGTATTGTGAATGCTTGTCTAGCAACCTGTCTGTGGGAGATTAAAAAGGGCCACAAATTATTTAACAACTCTATTGAGAGGTGGAGTCTATTAATAATTTGCTTTTTTACTTTTATTTTCATTTATTTTCTGCAGCACTTATTCCCGGGCCATAAGTTTTTGTTTTTCCAGTTTCTTCTGGGATATCTTTTTCTTCTGTGCAACCTCCTCTTCTGGTTTAGGAACAACCTGTTCTTTTTCAGTAAGGATCATCTCAATGTGGCAGGGAGAGCTCATGTAGGGGTTGATCCGACCGTGAGCTCTGTAAGTCCTGCGCCGCATCTTGGGGGCTTTGTTCACTTGGATGTGCTCAATGACCAGAGAATCTACATCTAAGCCCTTAAGTTCAGCATTACTCTCTGCATTTTTGAGCATGTGTAGTAAAAATTCAGCACTCTTTTTGGGCCACTGACCCTGCGTCCAGCCCCACTGTTTGGCCTGTGCACACCTACCAACTCCACCGTTGTAACGAAGGAATAGCCCACACTGCTTCTTTAAAGTGACATCCTTCAGATACTTGGTGGCTTTTCAGATATGCATACCCTTTATGGCCTGAGCAGTTTCACGAGTGTTCTTAAAGTAAACATGAAGATTTGAACCTCTTGATTTGCATGATTTTGTGGGATTTTCTGGGTCGAGTGAATAGCGCACCATTTTTAGGGTTCAGCTCAGGCCGCTTACCGGAAAGGAATAATTTGCTTTTCCTTGAATTTGAGCTGGCTTCAGTGACTTGTTTCACTATACAATGTGGTAGAAATGTTGTTCTGAGACTTCTGAGACTGGATCAGAAGAAGCCTTACAGCTTTTACCTGTGTTTCTGGGGAACCCTGAGCTGCCATGTAAGAAATTTGACTACCCCAAGGACTGATGCTGAAGCTCCAGTACTTTGGCCACTTGATGTGAAGAGCCAACTCATTGGAAAAGACTCTGATGCTGGGAAAGATTGAGGGCAGGGGGAGAAGGGGGTGACAGAGGATGAGATGGTTGGATGGAATCACCGACTCAATGGACCTGAGTTTGAGCGAAATTTGGGAGATGGTGAAAGACAGGGAAGACTGGCGTGCTGCAGTTCATGGGGTTGCAAAGAATCAGACTTGACTTAGCGACTGAAGAAGAAGGTTGCCATACAGGCGAGGCCGTGGGCAGGTGCTCAGCTGACAGTCCCAGCAAGACACCAGACCAGTGAATGGGGCTGTCTCTGGTCCCTACACAAGCTCACCTGCTGGTTGGCTGCCACCAACTGAGCTTCACTGAAACCATGGGGAAAGGAAGAATTATTCATCTCAGTCCTGCCTGAACTCTCAATCCATGGAATCATGAAATATAATAAGATGATTGATATTTTACTCCACTAACTTTTGCGAGTCGACAACCAGTACACTCTCTAGCCTTGAAGAATGGCAGAGGTGGTACTGGGGGATGGTGAGAGGAGAGGGTGTGGGCAGGAAGTGTGGGTGTTGGAGAAGTTTGTATGCACATATGGTGAAGATGCGCTATTATATTTGTAACTATGTTAATACCCCAATCTCCTTTTCTGCTTTTGGCAATTTGAAGTTGACTCCCATTATAATAATCAAAAGAGACTGAATTCCTACTCTGTAAGGTCCCTTCCAGCCCCCAAGTCCTATGATTCTGAGGGCTCTGGCTAGACCATGACACTGATTCCCCAGGAAATGGCATCTGTTTTCCACTGCTGATGAGAAACCTCCAGCGGGAAAAAGAACCACAGGATGTCTGCCCCTTTATCCATAACCTTTCCCTAGAAAATCACTCTTAAAATTTTGGGAAGAAGCTAAGGTGTGTAAACCCTATTGAAGCGGTGATTTGTGGTTGAAATCCATAATTATTCCTGGAGAGAATGAAGCCTAGTGATTACAAGCATCCTCCTGGGTTCTCTGGCTGCCTGAGAGTTATGTCTTTCATATCCTGCAAGGCAGTGCTTACATAAAGACTAATTATTCCCATATAACCACCCACAGGAAACTTCCTGGCTTGTAGCTAAAAAGGAAAACATCACCACTACACAACAGGTAATGTGAGAAAAACAGAACAGATGCTGTGGGAGCAACAAGGAACCTGAACTCTCCCCAGCTCAGGGCTGGATGTGGGGGCTGAACAACCTGAGGGACGCTTAGGGAACAGCCCATTTAGCTTATTTGTGACTCATTTTACAGATATGGGAATAAGTGCAATAATCATGTACATCTGAAAGTGTGGCTGTGATGATTAAATGACCTGGAATGTGCAAAACCTTAAGATAAAGGAACTAAAGCTGGTCATCACCATCATCATTGCATCCCATGTCCATTTCTAAGAGTGAGTGACCTGATTTTGTCTCTGGTGGTGGGCAGGGAACAATTAGGCTTCCACATGACCAGAACATTCAGAGGTACATGAGGATGGAGGGGAGGATACAGACCATGAATGAGACACCCTGTTCTGAGTCTCCTGACTAGAGCCCTGAGGGTGCTTTGGCTGCTCTGGGAGAAGGGAAGGAAATGAGACCACTAGGCTGAAGGGCTCACTATTCACTTTCATGCATCGGAGAAGGAAATGGCAACCCACTCCAGTGTTCTTGCCTGCAGAATCCCAGGGACAGCGGAGCCTGGTGGGCTGCCATCTGTGGGGTTGCACAGAGTCGGACACGACTGAAGCGACTTGGCAGCAGCAGCAGCAGCAGGCTGAAGGGCATGACATTGTGATTGGGTCCTGGATCTGCTATCTTTTAAAACTATTTATTGTATATTGGATTATAGCTGATTAATAATGTTGTGATAGTTCCAGGTGGACAGCAAAGGGACTCAGCCATACAAATACATATATCCATCCTCCCCTCAAACTCCCCTCCCATCCAGGCTGTGCTATACAGTTTGGCTCTATATTGGATCAGTGAAGGACCTCCTTTTCTATAAAATAAGAAGGTACAATACTTTGAGATGATTATCTCTTTCGTTGCCACAATTTAAAGCTTCGGCTCAAGTCAGTAAAGAATCTGCCTGCTATGCAGGAGACGCAGGTTCAATCTCTGGTTGTGGAAGATGCTCTGGAGAAGGAAGTGGCAACCCATTTCAATATTCTTGCCAGGAAAATCCCATGGACAGAGGAACCTGGTGGGTTATAGCCCATGGGGTTGCAAGAGTCAGATACAACTTAGCAACTAAACCACCAGCAGTAGCAGCAATTAAACAAACACCCTCAATATCTTTGCTTTATATTTAGAATAAAATAAAAATTCCTTCCATGATCTACAAACTGCTACATGATCTGGCTTCTGCTTGTATCACTACATCTGATGCCATGGACCCCCCCCCACCTCTTTCACTGTGATCGAGCCCGGGCCTAAAGCCAGTTTCTGGAGCCCTTCGAGCTCTTTTCCACCTTATGCTGTTCCGTTTGCCTGAAGTGTTCCTTGCTGCCCTTCATAGCATTATTCCTTCTTAACTTTATGTTCTCAGTTTAACTTCCAGGTTCTCAGCCAGGGCCTCCCTAACCATCATAGTTAAAACAGATCCTCCCAGAACAGATTCTATGTGAGCCTTGTTTGTTCTTTCATAGCACTTAACCACAATTTCACTTCCTTTATTTCCTTACTTATTTTTTAATTTGTTTCTATCACTAGAATGTAGGCTCCACAAACAGGCTCTTGTTCACCATTTGATTACCAGCACCTAACCCAGGGTCTGATTCACAGAAAGTACATAAAATATATTTGTTGAAAAATAAATGATGAACTTCACTCTGCAGATAAATTCATTCAGAGTACGTGACTGTTAGCCTGAACCTAAGCCCTCACTGATTCTGGAAGTTTGTTTCTGAGGGAGGCCTCAACTTGGTCTAGGTTAGCATTTCAATTTGTGTCACCTGTTGGCTATTTGGAGTCCCAGCTTTTGACAGCCACCTGGACCATTTCCTGGCCTTGCAGCCTGTGAGAACTGCCAGAACACTCATGATCCCTAATGAGAGACTTCTACATTTAGGCCTCCTCTAATTTAGGACTCTTTGGATTGCAGATAATATAAACTAACTTGTAGCTATTTTAAAAAGAAATGACCTGACCCCAGAAACTGACCACCATCCTGTCACTGATGGCAACTCCATGGCCTCCAGTTAAACTTGAACATTTTCTTCTTCCTCTCTCTTTTTTTTTTTGGTTGAGGTATAGTTGGTTTACAGTGTTGTGTTAGTTTCTGGTGTAGAGCAAAGTGATTCATATATATATGTATATATGAATGTATATGTGTAGGTATGTCTATGTATGACATTCTTTTCCATTATAGGTATTACAGTGAATATAGTTTGAATATAGTTCCCTGTGCTATACAGTAGTTCCTTTCTGTTTACCTATTTTATATATAGTAGTGTGTATCTGTTAACCCAAAACTCCTAATTTATCCCTCCTCTGTTTCCACTTTGATAACCATAACCATAACTTTGTTTTCTATGTCTGTGAGCCTGTTTCTGTTTTGTATATAAGTTCATCTGTATCCTATTTTAGATTCTATATCTAAGTGAATGCAATCTCAAAAACAACAGAATGATCTCTGTTTCCAAGGCAAACCATTCAATAACATGGTGATCCAAGTCCCTGACCAGTAACACTGAAGAAGCTGAAGTTGAACGGTTCTATGAAGACCTACAAGACTTTCTAGAACTAACACCACAAAAAGATGTCCTTTTTATTATAGGGGACTGGGATGCAAGAGGAGGAAGTAAAAATACACCTGGAGTAACAGGAAAATTTGGCCTTGAAGTACAGAATGAAGCAGGGGACAGGCTAATAGAGTTTTGCCAAGAGAACGCACTGGTCATAACAACCACCCTCTTCCAACAACACAAGAGAAGTCTCTACACATGGACATCACCAGATGGTCAATACTGAAATCAGACTGATTATATTCTCTGCAGCCAAAGATGTAGACGCTCTATAGAGTCAGCAAAAACAAGACTGGGAGCTGACTGTGGCTCAGATCATGAACTCCTTATTGCCAAATTCAGACTTAGACTGAAGAAAGTAGGGAAAACCACTAGACCATTCAGGTATGACCTAAATCAAATCCCTTATGATTATATAGTGGAAGTAAGAAACAGATTCAAGGGGTTGGATCTGATGGAGTGCCTGAAGAGCTTTGGGTGGAGGTTCATGACATTGTACAGGAGGCAGTACAAGACCATCTCCAAAAAAAAAAAAAAAAAAAAATGCAAAAAGGCAAAGGCAAAGTGGTTTCCTGAGGAGGTCTTACAAATAGCTGAGGAAAGAAGAGAAGCAAAAGGCAAAGGAGAAAAGGAAAGATATACCCATCTGAATGCAGAGTTCCAAAGAATAGCAAGGAGAGATGAGAAAGCCTTCCTCAGTGATCAACGCAAAGAAATTGAGG